GTAGATGCTGGAGCTTTGAAGGAAGGGGTGATGGGAAGAAGCGTGAGACCCCCTGCAATCCCTGGAGAGACAGTGAAGGGTGATATGGAGGTGAGGGGTCAAGCTAAGTTAAATCTTGCCTAAACGGGTGGAGTGCCCTCACCGGTGGATGTAGAGGTCACAGCGAGTCCAGGGGATCCCACGGTGCGCCAGGTGGGATAGTCGAATTGATGCAGAACAGGCCATATTCCCCCGAGTGGGGCGAGACCCTAAGACAGAAGAGGGTTCTTGGTGGAGAGTTTCGAAAGAAGTCAAACACACGCCAAAGTTAGAGCCAAAAGGAAAGTTTATTAAAGAAGGAATCACACTCCACAGACAGAGCGTGGTCTCCGCTCAGGGGCCGAGAGTGAGAGCCTGAGAGAGACTCAGAGGGACAGAGACGATGGACAAGGGCAGAGTGACAGAGAAAAGGACCTGAGACGGACAGCGTAAGACACTGAGAGGGACCCTGAGGAATTTAGTTCGTGTATCGTTCTTTAGTTCCTGCGAGTTACAGTTTAAGGACTTTGTTTACCCATTTTCCTTCGATACCGGGCACACAGTGAGGAGATGAGCATGCAGCACAAGTTCATCTGTAGCATGAACGGCCTGCTGGCAGTTCCCAGACTTTAATCCATAGGTTCCCCGTGGTTTTAGCCAGAGGGAATGAAGGGTTTGATTTTGTGTAGGGCAACCACTTAAAAGACTGTTTTCCCTGTTCTCCCTTCTGGGGGTGGGGAAATGGGTCGTTAGCAATCCCAGCAGAGATCTTCCTTTGTTCTGTAGGTTTCTTGGCTGCCAGGCTGATCAACATATTGCAGTCTCTGAGTACAGCTGAACATTCTAGTTCTCTTGCCTCCTCCCTACATTACAATTATGAGCAGAGTCTATCATTCTTCTACAAGATACGCTAAAGCTGCATGTGTCCCTTCCAAGATGATGGTGTCCTGTGGTTAGCCATGACCCTCAAGAGTCAGAGAATCGGTAGATATGACACTCTCAGACATTTCACCCAGTACAATCCAACCAAAACGGTGTCGTAGACATGGCTTCTTGGTGTCCTTGGCTGATGGGCTGACGAGGCCAGTGTTGAAGGAAGACACCACCGTTTAGAGCAGTACCAGGCGGGTTTCCTAGATGTCAGCCTTTTAAGTCCTCCAAGCCCAGGGGCCCAGGTAATTGGCATCTTAACCTCCAAACTTGCTGAGTATCGTATCATCTGGATCAGGTTCCAGAGGTGAGTTTCTAAGTTTGATTACTGAGAAGTACAAAGCGTTCCCCACATTACTGAAAGTTCAGGTTCGTAGTTTTAAGGGCTCTTGATTTTTCACCTCAAGACCATGAATGGCCATTATAGTCAAGTATTTGTGAGAGCACTTTTCTTGGGAAAATTTCTCACTGAAATTTATAAATTGTTTTTGCCATAGGTTCACTCACCAACACTTAGAGAATTTACTGACAGTGGCTTCACTGGACTAGTTCAAGTTAACTCATTTGGTAAGAAAAGACAGGGAAAATCTTTTAGAGTTAGTATATCTCTCAAGGCATTTCCTCATTATAAATAAAGTTGTTTTGTAAGCAAAATACAATGACACTAACAAAATAACTTTAAAACACAGCAAGGATCGAGGCCACATGGTAACAACGGCATTGTGTTCCGATCTACTCAAATCTCTTTACAAAACAGGTGGAGCACCTTGGAGAGAAAAAGTATTCCGAGTAGAAGCATACAAAAAATGAGAAAAGGATTCAAGAGACAGTGACACAGAAGAGAAGCGAAGACCCAGCGTAGGCATATCCGAAGCCCTGTCCACTTCCTAAAAGAAAGAAAAAGCAGTGGAGAACAAATATAAGCAACGATTAAAGAAAACTTTCCTGAACACAAACAAAACGACTTGACCTTGTGTATTTAAAGGGGACACAATGTACCTGGGACAATGACCAGAAGTCAACTCCGAGACAATCTATTAAAATTATTAGAATTTATACAAGTCCTTTCGGCATAAGGTAAAATGACCTACTAATGTATCTGGCATTAGATCTTTACAGAATACTTTTAAGTTAAAACACAGTGGAGCACACAGGGTAACATAGTACAGATGCCCAAAAAAGAAAATGTGAGCTAAGAATTTTTTTATTCAGCCAAAGTGACCATTTCACCGCCTGACCCGACTTGCTACCTCATTACCCTGTTCCGTTTTCTTCGTAGGATTTTGCAGATTCCAAGGTCCTTGTTCACCTTTTTCCAGAAGGAAAACTGCGTGAGAGCAGAGCCTTTGCTTCGTTCACTGCTGTGTCTGCAGCACCCGGCACAATTCACGGTGGCGTCAAAGGTTTCAGAAACAAAGGAAGTTTGCACGAGAGCCAACGGCAGCTCGGCCTGCCATCACCAGAGGCCGGGAAGCTCCAATAACAGATGTTTATTTCTCACCGTTCTAGAGGCTGTAAGTTCAAGATCAAGGTGCCGGCAGGTGCGGTGTCCGTTGAGGGGCCTCCTCCTGGCTTGCGGACAGCTGTCTTCTCACGGTGTCCTCACGTGACCTTTCCTTGGTGCCTCTGTGTGGAGACGGAGACCTTCCTCTCTCCTTACAAGGGCGCTAATCCCATGAGAGCCCCACCCTCACGACCTCATCTAACCCCAGTCCTTACCTGAGGCCTCACCTCCAAATACACACACTGGGGATTAGGGCAGCAACCTGGGGACTTAGGGGTGGGGCACGAACAAGAACTTCTCTTCCTGGGCCTGTTCCTAAAACGAGGCAGCTGGCTGATCTTGATGCTCCTGCTGCTCTGCCGTCCTGATGCTCTGTCCCCGAGAGGTGTCTGCCTAGGGAGGGCTCCCACTGACCACACTCTCACACTGCCAAGCACTGTGCAAGGTGATGGGGTTACCACGAGAGACCGAAATCCTGTCACGTGTGGTACCGATGCATATCTGTCTGGTTCCAGGTAGAAAGACTGGGACCAGAGAATATGAAATAGGAGAAACAGTATTTTTCTTAGACAATTCACTTACGAGATACTAACGGCTTCCACGTATTGTTACCCTCACATCTCTCATGATGAGGAGGCTATGGACTAAAGTCACTCATAGTGGGGAGGACCAGTATCCCACAGAATGGATTCCTCCTACCGAAATGCATCCCTTTGTACTGGTAACCCGTGGTCCTGCTTACCTGCTCAGGAGGCAGAGGCGGGGCAGCTGACCTTGAGGAGGAAGCAGGAAGGGCAGGGCGCAGGTGGGCCGGGCTGTGGCTGCAGGTCATGGGAGGTAGGGAAGGGACTCTGGTTGGGGCTTGGGTGGCGAGGACCAGTGAGGGAAGAGGGACTCCTGCTGGGATTGGAACTACCCAGGTCAGGACAGCCTGGTGATTGCGAGAACAGCAAGGTGACAGCTGGCTGGGGCAGGAGGGTGGGGAGAGCAGGACCAGGCGGAGGGGGGTCTTGAACACCAGACTTGCTGGTCAAGACTCTGAGGGCACTTACTCTAAAGGTTCTCAAATCATGCTTCCAAGAACACTGGGGTTTGGGGCATTTGGATCACACGAAAACAAAAAATTCTGACCCAAAGCTCCAAAGTAAAAGAAATACGTTAAACTCATGAGTATTCTCCCTGTTTCACATTTTCGTACTTGGCGATGCCTGTGGTCACTTCTTTCCTCTAGTGCCTCGGTCAAGGGTAGAAGGTGGTTCAGCCCAAGTTAGATGAATTCTTACATTTAATCAATCAATATTACAAAGTGTTCATGCTACATACAATACATACAACCTCACAACATCCAGGTGTGTGGGCACCTATAAAAAGGGGGACTTCAAGCGTCTGGCCACAGGTGGGTTACCTGGGGGCCCATCCACAGTGCTCGCTTGCCTGGCCTCCTGCTCCATCACGGGCTGTGTGACCAGCAGGCTTCTGAGCCCTGAGCACAGACCAGGCTCCTTTCGGGCCTTCCGGTGAGCTGCACTCGAGCCCGCGTGGCAGGTGGGGCTTTGGGAGGCATGGCAGTGCGCAGGCACGCGCCACGTGAGAGCTGGTCCAGGGCCTTGGAGTCCTGGCCCAAGCTCAGACAAGTAGGCCCCGGTGCCTTGCAGCCAGAGGTACGTGGAGCTGAGGGGACAGGATGAGAAGCACCTCGGAGTGTGCGGCACACGACACTAGTTGCTGGGAGGGACAGAATGGAGAGAGAGGCCAGAAACCATCAGGCAGCTGAGAAAAGCAGAGGCACAGGTATAGCCCGGAGGGAGCTATACCGACCAGGTGCTCTCCAGGGCCTGTCTGCCGGGGGAGGCCGAGGGGACTGCAGGCAGGGCTCACCCCCTGTCTATCCATTCCCTCGTGGACCCCGGTACGGCACAGTAGAACACGCAGGACTGGTAACAATAGGTGAACAAAAGTGTGAACATCCCCACTGCAGGTCGGCAGGACTGGGGCTCAGGGAGACAGGAATTGCACGACCTGGGGACAAGACAAGGGCAAGAGAAGACAGAGTCAAAGGCAACAGGAAGGAGCCGGCGGGGGTGGGGATGGGGGCAGAGCTGCTGGGGCAAGTCTGGAGCGGGGAGCTTGGTGGCAGTGCTGGTCCCCAGAGCGGAGGCCTTGGGTCTGAGCCAGGGCAGACTATGGATAGAGTGAATGGCTTGGTGTCACAAGGTCTGTGACCTGGACAAGCCCTTGTACCTCTTCAGAGCTCAGCTTGGTGACCCACAAAATCAGGTAACACCTGGCTCTGGATGTGATGACCCAGCGGCAGAGCCCGTGGCCTGTGAAACGCGGTGCAGGTACAGGTGCGTGTCTCTGTTATTAAGGGGACCACCTAAACATTACTGGCTCCCACGGTGGTCAAGGAGAGAGCATGGTCCTCAGTCCTCAGGACCCTAGGCAGGTGGCATGGTCAGGTGGGGACAGCACCACCTTCCTGGAGAAAGGGTTCGCCTTCTTCCTGACCTGGCCACGCTGGGCCCCAAAGGTGCTCACCACATCGCTGTCACTCCGTGCATGGCAGCTGCTCAAGGAGCATGTCCTCTATGCCACTGAGCTGCAGGGAGAAAGGAATTAGAGGCCGGAGCCCTGCAGGTCCCCCTTCCGCTCCTGGCTCTGGGCCTCCCCGCAGCCTGGCGCAGCGGGCAGGACCCGCGTGATGGCGGTCCAGGGGCCCCCGTCCCGCCAGCCTTCACCCTGTGACCGCCCACCACAGAGGCCCTCCTGAGACCTCACAGGGTAGCCCGGCCATCCAGTTCTAACATCTCTCTAATCCAGTCCTTTAAAAATCTGCCGTTGTCAATTCCTTTTTTTTTTTTTTTTTTTTACCTTTTTTTTTTTCCTTAAGGAAGTTTGAATAGGTTTTTTTCCCTTGCCAAAAAAAAAAAAAAAGCGTCTT